GACAGCTAGTTTTCTGTATGGCAGTTTTTCTCACCCTGGGCACTTTAAAGACCTGTGGCCTCCAACCCCAAAATTCCCCCGGGCTGGGGAATTCTGGGAGTTGAAGTCCACAGGTCTTAAAGTTGCCAAGGTTGAGAAACACTGGTATAATGGTGAAGACAACAGGAGACTGTGAGTTGTAATCCCACCTTAGGCACAAAGCCAGCTGGGCTACCTTGGGCCAGTCACTTTCCGTCGACCCAGGGAAGGAGACAATGGCAAACCACTTCCGAAATCTTGCCAAGAAAACTGCAGGAACCAGTCCGGGCAGTCGCCAGGAGTCAACACTGACTCGAAGGCGCATACCCAGAGCCGTTTTGTGCAAGCCTCAGATCCTGTGGCAGGGGAATTCTGGGAGTTGAAGTCCATGCATCCTCAAGTTGCCCAGGTGAAAAACACTGGTTTAGGGTATCCAGGCCTTGCATTGTATGAGAGAGAGAGAGAGAGAGAGAGAGAGATTGCAAAGGGGAAAGATTTATCCGTGGGAAAAGTCTGTTCAGGGTCTCCCTCCTTATTTCTGCAGGAATGTCGTGCTCCGGGATGAACTGAGCAACAAAGGAGTGTTTGCCTGCGTGATGGAGGGAGGGACGTCTGTGCTCCCCAACATGGAAGATTCTTGTCACCTCCCTCTGGAAAAGCATCCAAGCCCAGCGAATGGGAACGCAGAACAATTTCATTCAGGTGCTTTTTAAAAAAATACCCCTACCCACGTGGTAACTTTAAACATGCCTTGTCCGGACAAATAAAACAACTTCTGGCTTCATGCGAGGGTCCGGTTCATGCCACAGGCTAAGGAGATGTCCATTTGCCAAGCTCCCAGCCTCATTTTATCCTAGCCCCGTGTGTTGTTCCAACAGTAGTTGGATTCACCCCTGCGGCTAAGCCAGAGAGGGATTTGATTGACCTTGGTTTAAGATGTTGTGGGAATCCAGCCATTGTGGGTTGAAGTTTATGGCTTAGCAAGAGGAACTTGCTAAGTACATTGTGGAACGGGCAGAAGGACCAAGGACGGGGAAGTGAGACGTGAAGTTCTGCCCCCTCTCTTTAAAACTCACCGTCTTTGAGAATGGGACGGCCTGAAACTCCATCTCGATCTATTTATATATCCTTATCCGGTCGGAAATAGATGTTGTGGTCCGGATGTTCCTTCCAGGATGCTCTTTTTAATGCCTCTATGGTTGCAAACAGTGGTTTTCTATTCCTAAAAAATAAGGAGCGCGACATTGTCGGGGTCCTCATGCATTTCATAAACCTGTCTGGGGAAGTTCCTGCTTTGGGCATTTTGTCTCGGCAGCATCTTTTAATCCTCCGGGAGCCGCGATGATCGATGTTTTCCTGCACGGCATGAGAAGCATGGGTTTTAAAGGCTTAGCGGGATCCACAGGATATTGCACAAAACAGATTTGATCCCTTTGCTTTGGGATTCCAAAGTTGAAGACGCAGGGGAGAAAGCGTTTGGGTTTTGCAGGGATCGAGTTCTTCTTTCAGATCTCTTGGTTCATCCAACCTTTTCTTGGATGAGTTGCATAGGAGAAGAAGAAGGGGGGGAAAAGGACAGGTTACTGGTGATATTGAATATTTGCATCCAAAGTGAGAAGAGGGGTCTGCGGGGGGGGGCAAAAAAGTCAAGATGGAGGGTCCGTGACTGTGGGTTTAAAGCCCCGCCTTTTTTACCTACATTGCAGTGTGTGTAAAAAAGGGCAGTGCTTCAGTCACACAATTGCAACCACCATCTTGACTTTTTTTGACCCCCACCCCTCTCAGGGAAGCCCCTGAATGTCAATGGGAGATTTCTCGCTTTTCCCGGAAAATATTGGCTGCAAAAGAGATTTGCTTGCACCCAAAACAAGGGAAGGAAGCATTAAATTACCGTTCTGTATCTTCTCAGAGTCTGTCCTCTATCTCAAAAACCTTCTGAGGGCTTGGAGTTGTGGGTTGTTGGGGTTTTTTTGGACCCTCAGAGAATCCCTAGATCAGTGTTTCTCAACCTTGGCCACTTTGAGTTGTCTGGACTTCAACTCCCAGAATTCCCCAGCCAGCTGGGTTTCTGGTCCTCATTAAGTTGTTGTCGTAACTTATTAGGCCCTTGCTGGCTGGGGAATTCTGGGAGTTGAAGTCCAGACAACTCAAAGTGGCCAAGG